GTGGGGCCACGAAAAGTGTTATGGATGTGCCGAAACTGGCTGGATTATTTATGTGGCGCTATCGCCCCATGGAGGGTTATTCATTACGGGCGATTAAGAGGTTATTTCTTTTTACAGCTGACGACAAAGGCCAACGAATGCAATTTACCTCCCTCGGTGTGTGCCAGTAAACAGCACGGCCAGTTCTGACGCTGTTGGCAAACTGGAATCCAGCATGTATGCACCAAAGGCCCGGCGGGTGACACCAAAGAGATCACCGACAACGCCACGAAAGAACAACGCAATCCCGAGACTTGCAGTCGGACCAACGAACATACGAAACCTGTTCACGACACGACCCTCAGGGCAAACATTTAATGGAATCAAAACCCTGTCCATGGCGCCGCAAGCAATCGTGATGTACAAACCAGGAATATCGTCGGGCGAATGTCTGAAGCCCAGCAACAGAAGTTGCGCTGCATAGAAATGTGAACAGCCGAACATTGTTTGTGTAATCGTGCAGCCAGGCTGCATGAACGCTTGATCTGGAAACCAATGAGGTATGACCGATCCAGATGCAGTGTATTCCTGTGGGTTGACAAAAACTTCCACATTCGCAAGACGAATTGGCTGCTTATCGCAGTCATCAAAATACCACCGTGCACGCCTGTTCCGCTCGTCAATGCAAGCTGCCAGAACTGGGTGAAACCCTAACCCAGCCCAATCTGTGTACACTGCCTCGGAATCGTCTGCGTCATCAGGTGAGAGGCGGGCAATGGAGAATGCAGGTTCCACCCAAGATGTCACCATCAGACGGCACGGGGTTACCGATGGCCCTGCAGGATCCAATGCTGAGATGAAATTCCAACGGGGGATGCGCAGTTCTTTAGCGTACTTTCCAGCGATGCCACATATGTGGGCACCAAGAGAATGGCCAATGCACCAAGTTTTGACCGCAGTCCCAAAGACAGTATGCATAGCAGCAAGCAGCCGAGCAATATAGAGTGCCACAACCCTGGTGGATGACATAGCCCTCGAATATTGCAAATAATTAGATGCACCTTTGCCCCATCCAACGACGATTGCCAATTGCCTTGACTGTTTAACCATCATCGAAGCTGCCAATGCAGGCCAAGAGCTTGCATCTGTGGAACCATTGCCGACAGTATCGCCAAACCCGTGCACGATGACAGACACCCGCCAAATCGGAGCCTCTTTAGCTGCACTCGTCAACATCTGCTCCAGCGCATCCTGCAAGCGAAAAGCCCCGAGCTGCAGCCAGTCGGCATAAGGATCGACGTCTTCAAAAACCGCATTGCGCACATACCCTGCCCTGAAAACCCTGAAGTGCACACCAATGTCTCCATTCACCAGAGGTCTGTCGCCCCATGGACTGGCGGCGTGCCGAGGGGGGAAAACAGAGGCTGGCCTCCCCGGCAAACGGCGGGGCTCCCCACGAGACCTCCCAGAAGCCCCCAGGCCTTCTGACAAGCCTCAGGCTTAGAGGCCTTCCCTGAAAGGCCGGAGGCCTTCCATGCCTTCCAAGAAAACCTGCGCCCTCTGCATTCCCGCCGGGGCGCGCCGCCGAATGGAGCTCCGAACTCGGTAGCGCCGAATGCGTGTTCCAGCACCGAATCGTATGCTGCAACAGCGCCACCCAGTGCACCCCATGGCATGTTCCAAGCACACGCGAGCCTGAGCCACAACGGCATGAGCCAAGATGGCTTGAGCCAAAATGGCTACTACGGAGGGGCGATGAAGAGGTTATTGATTCGGGTTATTGTGGTTATGGTGGTTCGTGTTTTTTGCGCTGAATGATTGCGATTATCTACTTAGGGTGACTTATTAGGTGGAGCTCGCTGTGGGGCCACGCAACGTGTGAGGGGTGTGCCATGGGCGGGGGGACCGCATGCCGCACCACACCCTTTCGGGGGCTTCGGTGGAGCTCTCTGTCGGACCACGAAGTGTGTCTGTGTGTGTGTGCGTGTGTGTGTGTGTGTGTGTGTGTGTGTGTGTGTGTGCGCGTGTGCGTGTGTGCGTGTGTGTGTGTGTGTGTGTGTGTCCGTGTGTGTGTGTGTGTGCTCGGTGCACCTCCTCCTCCTCCTCCTCCTCCTCCTCCACCTCTCCTCGGCCGCGGGGCACCCTGTTCGAATGATGACACAAGTGTGTGTGTGTGTGTGTGTGTGTTCGTGTTTGCGTTCGTGTGTGCGTGTGTGAGGGGTGTGTTGACATGGGCCGGGGGACTCACGCGGACACTGCCGCTTGGGCTTTCGGTGAAACTCCCTGTTTATAGGGCCACGGAGCGTGAGAGTGCGGGCTGACATGATGGGCATGCGGAGGGCAGGGGCAGGGAGATGAGGAAGGAGGAGACGGACGCGGGGCGCCGCGGATTCCAAACGAGGACCCAGCTTCACACAGGAACATTGGGAACAAAAGCGGTGAAGGACTGGGAAGGGAGGAGGGAGGATGTTGGGAGGATCACTTGTTTGAGGGCGTCCTGAGTAAAGCTGACGACTCTGGCGGGTTCAATGGAGGGTTGGTCCAGGAGGAGTGCAAGAGAAATGGAGCTGGGGGCGTGGGGGGAGGGGGAGGATAGAAGATGTGGGAGGGGGTGTAGAAAGGCCACCTCTTCCTTCCGCCTCACCTCATCATGATTAACCTTCCATCCTCCTCCTTCCATTATCCGTGTCCTCTTCCCTTCAGCTCATCTTTCCTTCTCCCTCCTTCCTCCTCCTCCTTACTCCTCCTTCTCCTCTTCCTCCTCCTCCTCTGCCATCATCATTACTGTTTTCTCCTCTTTCTCATTCCTCCTTCCTCCTCCTTTTCCCCATCCTCCTTCCTTTTGCATCCCTCTAGTCTTTCTGTAAGGCAGGCGGGAGAGAATTTGGGGGTGGAGGCAAGGGGTGAGGCGCGAGGGGGACGTAGATCGAGCGGGGGGAAGGCGACAGGAGAATGAACAAGTGGCAGGAGGGAGGGAAAACAAGAGATCGCGAGACACAGACACCAACCCAATGTCTCTGCCGCGATGTGGACGGCTCCCTCGATCGTCTTGCGCACCCTCCTCTCTGAAAAAGAATGGTCTGTCTGGCATGGCCAAAACATGGCCTGCATCCCGGTTTCTGGCGTCGCGACCCGCGTCTGTCTGCTACAGCTCGCTTCCTTCGTGCTTCTGCGACAGCCAGGGCTGCTCGGTGCAAGCCACCACGACCCGACACAAGTGCTTGGCGCGTGCCCATGGATTCCCGAGTCGCGGGGGCCATCTAATGGACACGCATCCACGCGTTTGATGCCATGGCTTCGCCGCCCGCCTGCCTTGGCAGGCTGAGCGCTGTAGATGGACAGGGCGAAAAACTCCCCCCTGGCATCGCAGCAGACGATGATCACTGGCAGCTCCTCGTTGCGGTTGATGAACTTTACGACCCGTGCCACCAGCGGAGCGGAGTCCTCGCGGAGCGTGCGCCACCGGCCAGAAGGGCACCGCAGTAGGGTCCACAAATGAATATTCGTGTGTAGCACCCCATAGTTGCGGATAAGGGTGGGAGGGCGGGCGCGGGGTGGGTCGCGGGTGGGTCGCGGGCGAGTCGCTGGTGGATCGCGGGTGGGTCGCGGGCGGGTCGCGCAGTGGGACGCGCAGTGGGACGCGGGTGAGTCGCGAGTGGGTCGCGGACGGGTCGCGCAGTGGGACGCGGGTGAGTCGCGGGATGGGTCGCGGGGGGTTCGCGGGTTGGTCGCGGGTGGGTCGCATGCGGGTCGCGGGTGGGTCGCGGCCGGGTCGCGGGCGGGACGACGACAACAAACAACGAACAACAAATCACAACAAACTACAAACAACAAAACACAAAACAAAAACCACACTACCAACAACAACAGCAGCAACAACAACGGCAAAAACAGCAACACCACCAACAACAATCCCAACACCAACAACAACAACACCAACACCACCACCAACAACAACAGCAACAACAGCAACCCGCACCGCGGAAGCCCACTTCAACCACGCACCCAGGGACAGTGAATGACCGTTCGGCCCCCTCACACTGATGTCTCTAAGCACCGCATTGACACATTTGGCACACGCACACATGTATACACGCACACTCTCTGAGAGAAGATCCAGGGCACGTGCCGCAGTCAGCTACCCATCCTGGGCAAACTCCACGACCACCCACTACTGCAAGAAGGGGCCAAACACAAGCGACGCAGTGGAACCCGATAGATTATGATCAGATCTTGATTCGCCGCAGGCGTTCATCTGCTCCCCCTCCTGATCTCCCCTCTCCACCGCCGCATCCACTTCCTCTTTCTCATCTGCCTCTGGGAAATCCGCTTACCTCCTGGACTTTCTCCTCCTGCTTTCTTCCTTTCCGTTCTTCCTCCCTCTCCCTGTATTTTTCCCCCTCCCCCTCTCTCCCTCTTTTTCTCTCCACTCCCTCCTCTTCCCCATTGCCCTCCCTCTCCCTTCCCTCGCTTCCCGCCTTTACCGCCACTCATCCCCCTCCCTCCGAAGAAATTCCCAGTCCAACACTCCAATGGCAGCAAACCGACAGCTCATGGCGACGTGGAAGATGATGGTGATGATGATGAGAAGGAGGAGGAGGAATAGGAGCGGGGTGACGAAGAGAAGATAAGGGTGACGCCCTTCATCCTGGGATGCACTCCTGCGTTCTCACCAGCCCTCCGCGCGATCCTGGCCCTCGCCGGCCATGAGCTCCTTGAGCGAGCGACTCTCCGAGCCTGCCTCGAAGTTCGCGGTTAGCTCCCTGAGGTGCTTGACCTCCGCAGGCGTTGCCCACGCAACCATGCTGCCTCCCCCCTCCGCCTCGTGAACAAAATCACGACGGGCGCTTCTCTGCCCCGTGTCGGACCCCAAGACCACCACTGATACACTTGTCCTGGGGGAGCCACATACCAAGACTAACGTGCAGTCGAGAACTCGGGTCTTGCTGCGCTCATCGAGTGGTGCTCTCTCGGGACAGACAGATGCAAGGGTGCTGTGGTGTACCTCCCACCTCCACCCCACCCTCACGGAGTGTAACTGTCTGTGCCGAGGTGAACCACCTTTCCCTTTGCCGTTGGGGTCCATGGCTGGCCAGGAAGCTTTGATGAGAAAAGCCCTTTACCAATCGACGCCTCGCCACAGTCCTGCCCCCCCCTCCTTTCCAGACGCATTTACACAATACGACGTCGTGAAGCAAAAACGGCTGAACCTCTCGACTCCTCCACGTTCACGATGGATGTGTAGGGTTAGACCGATCTGTCAGGGTCCCGGCGCCCAAAACGAGAACGAACGCGTTCCGAATCTTCTGCGACGCTCATGCGCGAACGCCCTCCCAACGGAAACGCCTCCAGACTTCGTCCCCAGACCAAGACCGCGTCCGGCCGCAGCGACGAAGTGGGCCCCCTAAAGCAAACGGCGAGGGAGGAACGAGGAGGACGAGGAGTCGGTGGAGGAGGGGGAGGGCTGATATTGCAAGCTAGGACGGGTGCCCGCAGCGACCACAGGGACAAGACTAGAAGGGCTCATCGGACCCCGACTCCAGCTCGAAGCCGCTGCCGTCTGCACAACCCGAGGTTTCGAGCCTCAGAGAGGCAACCACTCGCTGGGGAGGGGCGTCCGACCTAGCCTCCTCGATATCGCGTGTCACGCCTGGGGCCCTGGGGTGCGGACAACGCTCTAAGGATCTGCCCACGGCAGATGCAGACTTGGAAATTCGAGAGAGCTCCTGGGAGCCACATTGTTTCCTTGAGTTTCTTGGACTGGCGCGCCCTCCCGTACCCATACCCCCGCCTCGCAGAGCCCTGCAGGCCCTCCTCTTTTCGCCACAGGCAGCGCCCCCACCCACAGACGAGCGCCCGTCGGGTCTGCCGTTCGGGCGCGAGCCCCTGTCGAAAAGCAAAGGCCCTGCACCTACTCCACGAACTGCACGGAATACTGACATGGTCGGAGCATACAGAGTCCAACGAAATTCCAAACGAAACGTCCAACGGTATCTTCATTTTGAGGAAGGCCGCCCCCCCATCCGTTCAACGGCTGCACGAGGCTGCACGTCTGGTCACCAACCTCATGGAATTCGCAAGTGCGGCCTCCGCGGTGGACAAGAGCCGCAGCGTATCCGGATAAGAGCGGGAAGCCGCATGAACGTACACCCAAGCACGCATGTGTGCACACTGGGGTGTAGTCGCTCTGCTCCCCTGGTGGTTGCCTGGGGCTGCGTTGGTCAGGTGTTGCGCGTGGTCGGTTTACGTACGCGTGTGTGTGTGTGTGTGTGCGTGTGTGTGTGTGAGGATGCGTTCATGTGTGTGTGAGAGTGCGTGTGTGTGTGTGTGAGAGAGTATGTGTGTGTGCGTTTGTGTGTGTGCATGTGTTTGTGCGTGAAAGTGTCGTCGGTGCTCTGGGCACTGCAGGGGCTGGGGTGTCCGTCGCCGCACCCAATCTCTGGCAGCGCAGGCCCGCGGCGCCGCGGCGCCCACGAGCTGGCTCTCGAGCCGCCGCGCCGGAGCCCTGCTCCCCGCGCGTATGCGCGCCTGTGCCTTTGCATGCGGCTGTGGGCGGGAGGGGGGGGGAGGCACACGGCGTGCGTGAGGGGTGTGTCCGGAGAGGGTGTGCACGGTGTGCGTGCGGGGCGTGTGCCTGGCTGGCGGGCGGGGGTGCGTGCACGGCGTGCGTACCGGGTGTGTGCCCTGCGGGCGGTTGAGTGGTTGCCAGCGGCTGCTTCGGTCAGGTCTTGCGCGTGGTCTGTGCACGCGTGTGTGCGTATGTGCGTTTTGTGCGTGCGCGAGCGCGCGTGTGTTTCCGTATTTTCGGTGCTGTAAGGGCTGGGGTTCCAGTCGCCACATCAGCCTCTGGCAACACAGGCTCGCGGCGCTGCGGCGCCCACGAGCTGGCTCTCGAGCAGCCGTGCTGGAGGCTGCGACCCCCGCGCGCGCACGCGCGCGCGTGTGTGTGCGTGTGTGTGTGTGTGTGTGTGTATGTGTGTGTGCGTGTGCGTGTGTGCGTGTGTGCGTGTGTGCGTGTGTGCGTGTGTGCGTGTGTGCGTGTGTGCGTGTGTGTGTGTGTGTGTGTGCGTGTGTGCGTGTGCGTGTGTGTGTGTGTGTGTGCGTGTGTGTGTGTGTGTGTGTCTCTGTGTGTGTACGTGCGTGTGCCTTTGTGTGCGGCTGTGTGCGTGTGTACGTGTGTGTGTGCGTGTGTGCGCGCGCCTGTGCAGGGCGTGTGCCGAGGAGGCGCCTGTATGCCCCAGGCCCCATAAGACCTCCTCTTCCTTCAACTCCCCCTCCTCCACCCCATCCTCCACATCCTCGTCGTCCTGCACCTCATCCTCCTCGCACTCGTCCCCGTCCTCCTCCAGGGGAGCCCAGAATCGAATCGATAAGTCGGATCGGCGATCGGCATGTATCGGGTCGGCGGAAATCGGCAAGATAGTAAGTCACCATTGAGAGATCGGAACCAATATCGGAATCCGAACTCGAATCGAATCGGAATCGGAAGCCATCGAAGTGGAATCGACTCCAATCGAAGGACATGAGCCCTGTCCTCTTCCTCCTCCTCCTCCTTTCCGCGTCCACGTCCCCGGCCCCTCCCTCAACGTCCTCCTTGGGGCGTCGACACGGGCTCTTGCCGGCGGGCGAAAAGCAGACGACGACGAAGGAGGAGGATCGAACCCCAACAGGCGGATCGAGAACTGAGCTTCGTTGGGCCAGCAAAAACTCATCGGCGGCGGGCGAGGGGGGAAGTGAGAAGCAGGAGGCCTTATAAGGCGGCGGGGCTTCTCAGAAGCCCTCGCGCCTTGTGAGAAGTTTTCGCATCTTCGGGGAAGGCTTAGGACACTTCTCATAAGGCCCTGGGACTTCCAAGTCTTCTGAGAACGCCTGCCCCTTCTCACTTCTCCCCCAGGCTCGCCGCCGAACTAATTACATCCTTGGGCTGTCCGTGAGCACCAACCGGCCTTGCCACATCCTCTCACCCAGACGGCTCGATTTCTCGAGTCGCCCGCCCCCGAAGGCCGTCAATCGACCCAGCTCCCCGTGATATAATTTCACGCTGAGTGATTCTTTGACGGCCCTGGGGCCGAGAAACCGCACACAACCATTGCGGTTGAGCCGCCTCCTCCTCCTCCTCCTCCTCCTTCTCCTCCTCCGCCTCCTGCTCCTCCGCCTCCTCCTCCGCCTCCGCCTCCTCCTCCGCAAGATCCGGCGAGCTGTTTTTTGAACCGCCAGGCGGGAGATTGAAGAACCACCCCCCGGACCTGTCGAGGGGTGCGCTATGGCCAGAAATGCACAAGGGATCCCAAGCGTCGCCTCGAGGGCACTCCGGGAGAGTTGCCAAAAACGCCTTTCCACAAACCCTCGAACTCAAACCCGTTGACCCCTGGTGCGGGTCCCTCCTTCCCGAAATGTATATGGAAACACTGGATACGATGGCCAGCAACAGATGATGCTCAAAACCGACGGTTCGGCAGCCGGTCTCCTGTCTCAAACGGACAACGTCCGCGGCGGCACCGACGGCAAATCCTGTTCAAAATGGGCAGGAGCTGCTGTTGGTCTTCGCACCATTCTCTCCGCAACCATTTCTGGAAAACAGCACATGGTATCGATGCCTCCACACCCTGGAACTCTCCAGAATTCCGATTTTCCAAACTTCTGGCCCTCTTGGGCCACCCTGGACGCTCTAACTACATGCGCCCCCCCCTCCCGTCCAGACCCATGGGGGAGGGGAGAGAGGGGGGTAACAACGATGCCGAAAGACTCGTGTCCAGAAAAGCGGCTCGCGCTGGAGCGAGACCACCATTCCGAACGACGGGAGCAAAGCCTTGATTATAAAATGAGGCTCACGCTGCAGCTGGAGCGCAATGCGGGAAGAACCAAAATAGCTCGGATTGGACAACACACACTAGACCCCGCGAGGGGGCCTTCAGGTCGTTCTTGCGGCCTACCGAGCCGGACAAGCGCTCGATCAGGTCCAGCAGCTTCTGCTCCTCGCCGGCGGCGCTGGCGGCGCCGATCGCGTGCGCCTGGCGCTCTGCGTCGACAGTGACACTGACAACGACGACTACGACGACCAGAACGATGACGACGACGACGACGACGACGACGACGACGACGACGACGACGACGACGACGACGACGACGACGGCGGCGGCGGCGGCGGCGGCGACGACGACTGGACGCCTGATGACTGGACGCCTGACGACTGGTCTCTCCTCCGACCTCGACTGGCCTCGAGAGGCTCGAGGCTCGTCGAGAACGTGTCTGGCATCATTTGAAGGCGGTGAGTGCTCCTCGCTCCATCCCTCCCGTCCTTCCCTCTCTCCTCTTCCGTCTCCCGCTGCTCCTGCTCCTGCTCCTCCTGCGCGACAGAGCAAGGCATCATATATTTGCCCAGCAGCGCCTTGCGGAAGGAGCGGAGGGCCAAGCTGTAGTCCTCCACGTACTTCGCGGCCATGCCCCGATTCAAGTGCAGCGTTGGGCACCCACGGCCGAGTTTTGAATATCCGTCTTCCGCCTTGCTGTAAGCAACGAGCGCCCGGTCGATGTGGCTGTAGGGAGCTTCATTTGATGAGCACGCAGGCGTCCTGCACATCCCATTTGCTGCGCCCCTCTCCCAGATGCTGGTGTGGGTGGGAATGTTGAAACATCAACACGGTTCGTTTCCCGATCATTCTGTGGTGTTGGTTTTGAAAAAACAGCGCCCCGCATTCCTCTCCTCTCCTCTCCTCTCCTCCTCCTCCCCCTCTTCCTCCACTCCCTGCCTCTGTTCTCCGCATGCCCATCCGATTTCGCAATACCCCATCACACGTTTCGTGACCCCATATGGAGCTCCACCGAAGGCCCCACACGCAACGCCCGCATGGCACCACCGCGCCCGTTTCGGCACACCCCTCACACGTTTGGGGACCCATAGGGAGCTCCATTCAAGGCCCCACACGCAGCGCCCGCATAGCACCACCGCACCCGTTGCGGCACCCCCCACACGCAACGCCCGCATGGCACCACCGCGCCCGCTTCGGCACACCACTCAAAC